AACCATTGAATGCGTGAGGACTGAACTATTTTCTAATCAGAGACTACTTTTGGAAAAGAACCATGAGATCTTGGCTGAAAACTGAAGTCGATCGTCTCATGAACGAACATACCAGCATGGAAAGTAAACTGAAAACCAACTCAGTCGATTTGAATTGTACCGCTGAGGCAGTTCGCAAACTGAACAAGGGAAAAGCAGATCTAAATGAGCTTCTTTCTTTGGGTAAACAACGGTGATCTTACTAGAATAGGGTACATGTAATATCCCATTCAGTTATTAGTATTAAGTATCAGTTAATCTTCAAGATCGAGCTATTTTGAGGTCAAATAAGTTAAGATTTTGAAGTTTTCAAGTCATACGGATCGTGTGACAAGTCACACAAGTCCTGTGGCTCAAAGTATCATTTAATATAAGTCTCGGCATGTTCACACGAGACATGTGAATAAGTCACACGAGTTGTGTAAAGCCACACGAGTCGTGTGACATTTCACACGAGTCGTGTGGAGTTAGCACCGACAGAAATCAAGTTTCGGCCTTCTCACATGAGTCGTGTGTCGCAAGTCACACAAGTCATGTGAGGTAACACGAGTTGTGTGACTTGTCACACGGGTCGTGTGACCGACAGAAAATATCAGATTTTCATTAATTCGAATTTGGTGCCAACTAAAGTTAATTTTGAGCATTTAATTAAGTAAAGCTGATGATTTCATGTTAGGTAAGGATATATTTATATTGATTAATTTCTATAAGTTTAAATTGTTTAGTTTGTTAATTTCTTCACTTCACTATAATTTATTTCAAGTTTTTGGCTATAAATAGAGGGCTTCAAAATCTGAATTTTCTCAACAAAGAAATATTTCAAAGTTATATAAGTTCTTAAGTAGTAGAAATTATAGTGAAGTGAAGAATTTTTGGAGTGGAGAATAAAAATTTTCAAGTTCAAGTCCTTGAAGCAGGTAATTTAATTATGTTAAATTCATGCTTATTTTAATTATGTTAACTAGTTGTTAGTATACATGTTAAAGTGTTCAAAATTGATTTTATGATTGATTAAATGAGTTTAAACTGTTATATAGATACATTTTATGATATATGTACTTGCTTTAATAATATAAGGATTATTTAGCAAAGTATGATTCTTGTTAGAATTAAGTATTTGGTATAATTTGAAGTTAGTATGCAAATTGATGTAATGATATAAAGATGAGAAATGATTAAGTGGCATATATGATTTATTTCATGTTAAATTCTTTAAGAGTAATTGATATGAAATTTTCATGATGAGTAAGTTGATCAAATTATAAATTTTATAGCATTCATGTCAAGTTAGTATGTTAAAGTATTTAAGTGTAATTGATTGTTTTAGTGATGAGTAAATTAGGTATGTTTAGCTTAATATGTTAAAATGCAATTTCATAAATTGTTTCAAGTTTTGCTTATTTGGTGTTATGATCATGTAATAATATTTTATATATTATTCTATTATTGTGGACCATATAATTAGTTAGACCTAATTGAATTAATAGTCAAACTTTATTAAAGATGAATATGTATTTAATAGATTATTTAATGTTCTAATATTACAGAGTTCAATGTGTGATGTTAGACTTGGACAGTAAGTTAGGTTAGAACATGGAGAATGGTAGTATGATTAGGATTCTAAGTCTTCTCCTCCTATATATACTACATACCCCCTCTCTCATCTTATACGAAAATAAAGTTCTCAACATCAAGGGTTTTATGAAAAGACGAGAGACGCGGGAGAGAGAAACAATTCATTGGCAAAACGAATCCAACATTAAAGATTACGAGAAAGATGATCGTAGATCAACATCACAGATGAACAGAGAAGGACTATAGCTGGATTTTTCTAAGTTTTATGTGCAATTTAATTTATGCAAATATTCATATTCTATAAATTGATAGAATTACATGCTTAGGGTTTTATTCAATTTCGCCTAATAGTTATGAATATACCCATTAAATATCTTACATGTGGTATCAGAGCATGTGTTTTACAGTGATTACATTGCCGATTAAAGTTTTGTAAGGCCTATTGTGAATTATTTTTGCCGATTTGAGTACAGGCTCGCTTACGGACTTATTTTAATTTTTCAAATTTGATTGCGGACTTGTTTTAATTGTTCAGTCTTGAAAACAACTTAGCGCATCAATTTATTCCACTGAAGTGCTTGCAAAATTGAATTGAAAAGGTGCTTGATTTTTTACAAAGGTTTTCAATTCAGTTTTATAATTAATTGTCCATTAAACATCTGTACATGAAAGAAAAGCATTAAGGGTTCCAGTAATTTATTGATGTGGTTTTATCAATTTGAATGAATTAGTTGCTGAACAATTCGTGGTTTTGTGTGGATTTTTATAATTGCATGATCATGGAATTTTATTGCACGGTTCATTATTCGAACTAGTATGTAACCTGTGCGATGCACGGACTGTATTTACTTTGGAGAATATTAAAAATTAAATTTATTAATAAATAAAAGAGTGATAATTCGTTGAAAAATTATCAAATCATAAATTGTTACTCATGCAAAAAATATATTATTTAAACTTTCTTGTACACAACATTATTTTTTCAATAACTGAGCAACTCGTCGTCCCCACAAACTAATATTTTCAACACTTTTTTATTACTTACACGCGAAACAAACAACATAATTGTCTGTGACTAAAAATTATTTTCTTTAAGAATATGTCAACGTACAATAAATGTTTACCTTGACTCTTCTTGATCTATTACTTAACATGCCAACGTACAATAAATGTTTACATTGACTCTTCTTGACCTATTACTTACACGCGTAACAACATACAATTGGTCGTGATCAAAAAATATTTTTTTAAGAACATGCCAATGCCCATCTCTTATCTATTACTTAAGAGTAAAAACAACAACATATAATCGGTCGTTGCTAAGGATCGATTTCTTTAATAATATGCCGACGCACATAAAGACTGACCTTGATCTTAATTAAAACCCTAAGATTAGAAGTAACTGGTGCTCTAGAACTTAAATGAAATCCTAAGATAGATCTTCTTACAATATGATAATTTACTTAGACAGTGAGGCAAGGAGATATAGTTTAATATCGATTATAACTGATTACCTATATAATATTCACTAATATTTTTATATTTTTTATACAAAAAGACTGACCATGACTGTTAAATAGAACCCCAAAATCAGAAGGAACTGGTGCCGCTGGAACTTAAATGGAAGTCTAAGATGGATCTATTTATAATATGATAATTTATACAACAGTTAAACAAATGAATTGGTGTATA